AGTATTTAGTTTGTAAACTAAATATTTAGCTCGTAAAATAAATATTTAATTGGGAACTATGACATTTATAAATGTATGAATAACATGGTGAAATATGACTTTGAAAAAAAAAATATATATATATTTTTTTTTTTTTCTTATTAAAGGCTAAATAAACCAAAAATATTGCTATTAATTTTTGACTGTGTAACTTTACAAACGGCACCCCATGATTATTTGCTTTTTCTAACCAACTTTGTATTCTAGACATCCCAATGGGCTGTTCAAAGCCCACACCGGCCCCCGGCGGGCTAGACCCCGCTCTCTTTTTAACTTTAGATTATTTAACGGCAATTTGGAGTCATTTATCAAGGTACACAGTCTGCTGGGTAACGTTTCTTTCTTCTATCGTTCTGTCTTGCTCTGGCTTTCTGAGCATTTTGGTGGGTTCCCCTCAAAGCACGTGCACTTTGATTCATTTTACAAATGTACACCATCAAAAAAATGTTTGTGCTAAGATGGATTCTGTAAGTGTTTTCTGTGAGTCGGTGAGCTTGGGCAGTCTGCGTCTGAGGCGTAGGGTGGCATTGATAGATTTGGAGGGTCGCAGGAGGAGAGGAGCAGCAGTTGGAGGGATAAATATTTGTGTCTGTCAGCACCCCGGGCTCACTGCTGAGCTGGCATGTCTGAGCGGCTCTGGCAGAGATATTCTCTGCTCCTGGTCCAAAGAGGGAGCAGAGGCCAGTGACAACAACAGGATAAATGGTAGTTTAGGGGCGCATGCCAGACTGATGAGGTGTGCTGCCTCCCTCCTCTCGCTGCCTCTCACTGGTGGACGTATTCAGCCCTACTGTCCACATCACATGGTTCACTTTGGGCGTTGATGCCAGCACGTGGTGGAATGAAGGTGCTTTAATGGTAAAGGCTTTGGTGGCCAGCTGCTGTAATCATAAACTTTATTTTTCTTTGTGTCCTCCTCTTTCTTTCTACATCTCTGCTTCTTGTGGTTTTCCTCTGTAGCCGCGGACGTCGGAACTCACACACTCGGCATCAGGTAGACACTCTGAGGCTGTCTGAAGATTTTGCTGCTCGTCTTTGCTCGATTCTGCTGCCCATCCCGCTTTAACAAGATTTCCTCTTCGTGTTTTTGTCTTGCTTTTATTTACCAACTTCTAAAAGCAGCTTTGACAGACTGAGTTGAAGATTTTTTTTAAATTCAAAATTACGTGTTTTAAATTGTTTATCATAGTTCCCACACAAAAAAACACAACCACATCGAGACTTTGATTCAGTTTATGTGGCAAAAAGCAGTCATCCTAATGTTTCATGACTAAAAACATTAATCCAGCTGCATACAGACCTACACATCAACCCTCATATCTCGACCTTTGTTGATTTTTTTTGATGATTTTTGTGTTGGGGTCAGTTAAATCTCCCTGAAGCTTGTAAACAAATCACCTCTATCATTAGAAGCATGAAGGGCGGGCCTGAGTTGCATTGTTCATCAAAGCAGATCGAGTGGAGGTTGCACTACGACGTCTCATCTAACCTCTCCAGCCCTGACCTCCACATTAAATGTGTGACTCTTTAGATTCATTCAGTCAGTCAGCCTTTATTTATACAGGTTAGTCTCACTGAGTCACAAAGACTCATTTTCAAGAGAGACCTGTTTTATACCGACAACATATAAAGTACAGACAACAATAAACAACAATAAAATGAAATTAAAATAAAAAGTAGCGTTATAGAACATTAAAATCTAGATGACTTATAAAACTAAAGAAATTGCATTTCCTGCAAAAATGCAATGTGAATGCTTATTGCTGAAGAACTTTCTGAAAAGCAGCTGAAATTAACAAAAAAATCATGCTGAAATGGACGAACAAGCTTAAATTAGCAGAAGAAAGCAGAAAGAACACATATTTGCTGAATTGGGTTTAAATAAGCAGAAAGGAGCACAAAAGTTATGAAATTAGCACAAAAAAAAAAGCTTAACGTAGCTGAAAAGGCCAAAAGAAGCGTAAACTACTATAAGGAAGCGAAAGGAGCTAAAATGAGCTCCAAGAATGTGGAATTAGCTGAAAAAGCTACATTTAGCATAAAAACAACTACTGGTAAATAGTGGATGAAATGGCAGAAGAAACTGAAACTAGCAGGAATAAGCTGAAAGGAGCACAAGCTGAAATTAATATAAAGAAGTTAATTAGGTTGAAAGTAGCAGAACCTACCACCAAAAAAAACTTGAATTTATCTGAAAACAGTTGAAAGAAGCTAAAGAAATTCTAAAAAGGTAGCTGAAAAGGTAGAACAAGCTTAAATTAGCAGAAGAAAGCAGAAAGAGCACATTTGCTGAAAGAAGTAGAAATGAGCACAAAACAGTGGAAGTTATCTGTAAAAAGCTGAAATTAGCAAAAAAAAAAAAAAAAACAGCTGAAGAGTAGCTAAAAAGCAGAAAGAAGCTTAAATTACCAGAATGGAGTGGAGAGAGCACATTTTTGCTGAATTGTGATGAAAAAAATTGAAATGAGCGCAAAAAATATGGATTTAGCTGAAAGAACTAAAATTAGCATAAAACAGCTAAATAGTAGCAGAAATACTGGTAGTAAAAAAAAGCTGAAACTTACATAAATAATCTGAAAGGAGCACTCCAGCTCTGTTATTAAACACAGTTTGCATTGAAATGATTGTATTCAAAGATATCGTTTAGGAACATTAGTGTTAATACAACATCGGACAACATATTTTTTTTACAAACGTGCATGTTTTTCTCTATAATCCACAATACCCAGTTGTTATAAGAGACTCATTATGAACAAACAAATGAGGTGACGTCAACTCAGTCTGTCTCAAGAGTTGGGGAAAAAAAATCTTTCACTTTGTGTGTGTGCATGTTTACTGTTGACATCATGTTGCATCACATGTTAGAGGCCAATCAAATACCAGGTTATCACGATTTATTATCGCTTGTAATGCAGCATGTGTTATGGGCAAATTTGCATGAAGAAATTGACGTACGCCAAAATTTTACTATTTACTAAATGTTCAGTTATGGTGTTAATCATTGTTTAAATTCCTTTCATGTTTTGATTTAATACACACAATTACACTTTACCTTTCAATAATTTAAACTTGTATCATTGTCATACAAGATGTATTTGGTATGGCTCTAACAAGTATCTTAGTGATAAAAATACAAACATAATATTTGAAATATATTGATTGTTGTGTTTTTTTTTTTTGCCTCCAAAGGACTCTGGACAAGCGATCCCACGAGTGGTAGAAAGTTGCATTCGCTACATAAATCTATATGGTGAGTCACGTTAAGCCTAGTGGGGGGGGGGGGGGGGGGGGGGGGGGGTGGTTGTCCTCTGTGGAAATCTTCTCATAACCCAACTGTGACTTGTATATTTGTAAGGTTTATCTTGTTTTAGCGACACTTGTATAACAGCTTACTTTAATTGTTTGGGTATGTTTATAGTGTAGTTTTTTTAACGCTGTGTTTATTTCAGTTCGCTCACTGTTATGGAAAAAAACACATATTTCATCCTGTTTAAAGAAGTGCAGCATTTTCCACCCAGCCTCCCAAATAAGCTGTGAGAAAAGCAGCTTCCATTAGTTTGAAACAAACGAATGGCGTAAAAAGTCTGTTTTTAATTAGGATTAGAAAGGAATCTTAATTTGGTCTTGACTCTTGACCTTTCCCCTCCTTAAATCCCCATCCTCCCAGTAAAGCCTGATTGTGGTCTCTCTAATTATTGTCTTTAATTAGCAAAGTGAAGTGGCTTGGCAAACAGGACGTGTTTTTAGGCCCTACTGAAGAGTGAGTGTGTTTTTGTGTTAGCTTTTTGTGCTTTTTCACCTTTTTTTTGCCTTTGTCTCTAAAGGCCTCCAGCATCAAGGAATCTTTCGTGTTTCTGGATCCCAGCTGGAAGTTAATGACATCAAGAACTCATTTGAGAGAGGTGCATTCTCCAACAAATTCCTTAATTCTGCACATATATGTCTTTTTTTTTTTTTTTTTGGCGTAACTAGAAATTTGTATCATTACAGCATATTTGAACTACATAGCTTTTTGAAATGCTAACCGCTAATTTAAAGTTTTCACATAAAACTGCTCAATTTATTTGTTTGTATTTTTAGGAAACGACCCTCTGGCTGATGATGAGAATAACCATGACATCAATTCGGTAGCTGGTGTTCTCAAGCTGTACTTTCGGGGTCTGGAGAATCCTCTTTTCCCCAAGGAGAGGTTCAGCGAGCTGTTATCGTGCATCAGTAAGAAAGCATGTTTACATCGTTTTGACTGTTGAGCACAAGTCTTTTGAAACCAGGGTCAAAATTCAAGCGGCAGGACTGTGAAGGCCTTTTGCCAGCTAGTTGCGAACACTCGCAGTTCAGTGAGATACCACCTTAAATGGCACGCAGCTTCAAGCTTTCCACAGCTGAGCTTGAATCTGTTGTGAAGTTCGATTCAGCAATTAGACGTATCCCAAACAAAGCAGCTAAAAGCTAAAAAATTTCCACTTTTATCCTAAAACCGTTCATTCCCCAATGAAAGTGAGGATAATTAGTAACCAACTGAACTTTTGTATAAAATAAAAATCAATAAATGTAAAAATTAAGTACCATATTTTCCACCGTATACAGTGCACCGCCTTAAAAGTTGGATCAGTCTAAATATGTCTAATAAAGTGGAAAAATCTATAACTATGTTTCTTCACCGTATTTATCGCATCTATTACGCGTCACCACTGACGTGTCGCGTTTGTTACACGTCACCGCTGACAACCTGTAAATGTGGGCCGGTGTTGTGCCAGAAATCTATTGGCTGCCAAATGGCGGCTGCGGGAGCGTGCACAGGAGAACTTTAACAAGAATTTAACAAGATTAACACTTAAAAACAATTGTTTGTTTGCTCGAAATTATAGTAAAGGTGTGTCTCAGTCTTAACGTTTCCTTCATAAATGCACTTTGACGTCAAATCAGTTGCATTTCAAAACCCGATTCGCAGAATAGCAAAGGTGCGTCTCAGTTGAACTTTTCCTTAATAAATGCACTTCATTTGTCAAATCAGCTGAATTTCACCGGGGCAGCGCAGCGAAATGAAGCTGATTTGACGGTTGCTCCCGGTGAGCTGGACGAAGGAGGCAGGCTATGACAAGCCGAATGTGTCATTACTAGCCAGTTTTACCTATTACATGACACAACGGCATGCCATACTGCTCAAGCGCCACCTAGCCTCTGAAAATGGTAGTGTTCAATATTTTCAGTCAGAATTAATGAAAACGGTCATATCTCAGCCAAAAATTGTTTTATAAAAATGGGAAAAAAAATCCGTAAATAAGTTGCTTCGGTGTATAAGTTGCAGGGCCTGTAAATTATGCAAAAAACTGACTTATAGGCAGAAAAGTACAGTATACATGAACTTACACAAGTCCTCACAAGAATAGTCATTTTTCCACTTTAACTGTGACTTGGTTCTCAGCTCAGTCCGCTAATTGTGTGGCTTTTTCTCGTCGTTTAAGACTACATGGGGAATATAGCTACAAGCTCATCAGAGCACATGTTCTGCCGTGTAGTGTGTGCTGTTCTGTGTGTGTTTAAGCATGCTTTAGTGTAGACACCAGTGTGTGAAGTGGGTCTTTGTGTGTTTCCTCGGTGTATCTTCGTACATTTGTGCTGGATGAGTGATGGGGATTCCCTGTTTACATTCCACAGCTCATCAAGCCAGTGCTGTGTGGGTTGGGTGCCCAGAAGGCTTCATATTAAAAATCCTTTTCCCTTGGAGCAGCTCAGACCAGCTCCATGATTACTTCTAAGTTAAACTTTTTGTTCACCACTGTGTGCTACTTTCAGTAGTTTTCAGTGTGGAATTATCTGTGGAAACACTTTGCACAGTATTTGTTGCGATGAATAAGTCTTTATTGGAGATGACCTTTAAGTATTAGCTTCTGAAGCTCTCCAGAACCACACAGAAACCCAGTTGGGCATTCATGAAAAATGAAACGCACCGTAAGTATCCTCAAAGCCCAAATCCCAGAAGACACAAAATGGCTGAAGGATGACGAGGCTATTTTTAGCAGCCGCCAGAGCCTCAGCTCATCCAAGTAAAACGGGAAGGCTGCTTCAGGTGGAACAAATGATATGATAATACAAGACACAAAGGCTGGCCCTGCACTCACATGTTGTAGAAGGGCGCCAGCAGAAACAAGGTTAGTCTTCAAACAGATACATCTATGAAGGATGTTAGAGTTTGAGCTCTGCTCAAAACTGTAGGGGTAAAATAGAAGCAGCACTTTGAAAAAGAATAAACATACACAAGAGGAGCATGTCTGGGTGAAGAACAAATGCTTCATATGGAGCTAGCGTTGGTCATAAAATGTCGTGCTGGCTCTGTCTTCATATGTAGAAGGGCGCCAGCAGAAAAATACAAGAATACGTTTTAGAAGAAAAGTTGCTCTTTTCTAGGCATGATGCTCAATATTTTAAAGCACTAAAAATAATACAGATGCACAAGCGGGGGAGCCAGAAATAGGGCGAGCACATTTTTCTGTACAATATGTTGTACCTGTTTAAAATATTAACACGTTCTTGGGTTCTCTGACGTTTGAGTGAAGAGCTCAGTTTGGCATGTGAGGGTTTTATGTGTTTGCAGAAAATGGGAAACAATTAAAAGAATTCATCAACAACTCAATACTCTGCCACAAAATAGGCTTTAAATAAAAACAACAAGAAAAAAAAGGTTTTAGGTGACAGTTTTCTCTACCACGTCCACAGCCTGATCCAACAACACAATGCAACACTTACTATCTTCTTATGGGAGGAATTCAAGGTACTCAAGGTTCCAGTTACACCCAAAAATTGCAAAAATATAAAGTATAAAAAACAGCTACACTAATACGGTGTATTAAACAGCAGCCTGAACATGAGTCTGTTGTGAGCAGATGGGTATGAATGCAGCAGCTTAAAGGCAAGAAATCAGCAGCATGGATAATCAGCAGCACAGCTAAAGTGACACATCTCCAATTAAAGTGGCATTACAGTGATTTTTCTGGTTAGGGATTGATGAGTCTTAACAGTTGTATGAATGTACAGAAACAAAAACTACAGGTTTTTTTGATTGTTTGTTTTTTGACAACATTGTTTTGTGTATTTTGTGTCTTTTTTGCTACTGTAGGAATAGAGAACCTGTATGAGAGAGCACTGTACATCCGTAAGATCCTCCTGACCATTCCCAGATCTGTCCTTATCGTGATGCGTTACCTCTTTGCCTTTCTGAACCAGTGAGTTTAAAGACGTTTACCAGTACATTACTTCTGTATTTCATGTTGATGTTTTTTTGGCTTAAAAAGATGTAAGACTTGTGAACCTGTTAGGTGTTACCGCTGCCTTTTTATCATTTATATGTTCCTTCATAATTTCCTTCCTCTCCAGTCTGTCCCAGTACAGCGATGAGAACATGATGGACCCGTACAACTTGGCCATATGTTTTGGCCCTACGCTCATGCCTACACCAGACACCCAAGACCAGGTCTCCTGCCAGGCTCATGTGAACGAGATCATCAAGACCATCATCATCCACCATGAGACCATCTTTCCTGATGCCAAAGAACTGGAGGGGCCCATCTACGAGAAGTGCATGGCTGGTGGGGACTACTGGTGAGCAACCCATCATCGTACTTTAGTGCATTTAGTTATTATAAAGCAGAGCCCTTAGAAGGGGTTCAGTTTTGCTCAGTTTGAAGTGAAACCCCAGCAACCTGTCACAGCTGTCTGTGGGTCAGGTAATTTCATCTGTTATTAAAGGTGCAAAACATTCCCATGAAGTCACTTCACACAGCTGCACACATTTCCCAAAAGAGACGATTTTAAAAAGTCTGACAGATGGTGGTGGTTTTCTCATTGTGCCTTCATGATTATGAATGGAACAAAGGCACGCAGCCAACTTACTTTCACTGGGGTCTCACTAAGCATTTAGGTATGTGTGAGCTCTTCGTACTGTAGCTAGCACATGGGGGGTGATATGAGTCAGTGTACACACCAATTAGGCAGCTGTGGCAGAGGGAAATGACAAGGTAAGAATGTATCGGCGCTGGCTACACGTGAGCTTCTCTTCAGGTGGGACAGACTGAAGCAATCTTTGAAATTACTTCAATCATAGCAGGAACAGCTCTCATGGTGAAGAAGGAATTAGTCCAAATGCAGAAACTCAAGTCAAACTTGAGACTCCTTTCCAGTTCCACATCTGTAAGCAGCGCTTATCTCTTGTTTCTTCCTGTCTTTATCAGTCTCCGTCGAGGCTGACAGGGAATTATCTCTGACTAGAACTAATCACCCGTCTCAGAACAGCCGTGTCCCACGGCAATGTATCCGAAGCCCTTGGGAGATTCGTTGTCTTGGCAGCTTCACTTCTCTTTCTAGCTGGAGAGGAGGTGGCTGCTGACATGTTAGTATGGGAGGAGATGCTCAGTTCCTGGCAGGGTTAATCTGTGGAGGTGTGTGTGTGTGTGCGTGCGTGCGTGTGTGTGCGTGGCGTTACTGCCAGCTCACACAGCATGATGCAAGAAGAAGTGTTTAGGAAAAAAAAAGTGAGAGTAAACCACAGACTGATTCTGAAGCTTTAAAAAAAAGTGATAATGACATCTGCTTGAGCTCCATTTATGCCTTTTTATCTGTCATCATCAGTGACTATGAAGGATTTTTAGTGGGGAAATCAATTTGGAAAAACACATGAAGTCTTTTTACCGTAATATTAGAAAAACTACACAACAGGGAAGACTTTTTTTTTTTTTTTGGACCTATGCTCTGATCTATGTTGCGGCTGATGGTTTGCATGCTGTTCTCTGCAGTGAGAGCCCCTACAGTGAGCATGGAGCCCTGGAGGAGGTGGACAATGAGGGAGGGACAGAGACACACACCAGTGAAGATGGTGAGTGACTATACTACCATGATTTGTGGACACAGTAAATAATCAAGCAAAATACATGTTCTTATTGACGTTCGCAAGTTCACGTTTCAGCTTTGCTCCGTGTCTGTGGTGTTTTGAGGGTTAACCTCAGCTCTCAGGAGCTGTGTGGCTAATCCTGCCTTTCAGCCTATTAAATGCTTTAACCTTGAATGGCTAGGGAGCTGGGCTCAGAGTGATGGACAGCCATTCATATTCTAATAGTTCTGCTTTTCTCTTGGGTTCTCAGGACATCTCCACATCCTCATTTTTGTTTTTTAAACTGTGTGGTGGTCTGCACTCTGTTGACCCCTTCAAGGGAAGGAGACATCTTGTCACTTTAAAGTTCCTGTCAATGAGAATGTTTCCTAATTCCTCTGATTTATTGATATACTTCAATATCTTTTAAGTTGTGTGTATGTGTATAGTTGTATAAAATTAATATTAGTTGGTCAGATCGATTTCTATTTGTTGTCTTGATGTCCTTGAACACCTATGCACTGAGATTTTTCTGGTTAAAAGACAGCAACCGTCAGTTTGATAATTAAAATGAGGTTACATTTTTTTTAATAAATCTCTCCACCGTTCTTTGTTCTAAAAGTTTCTCTGAGCAGCCTGGAAAGAACATGTTCCTGCTAACTGGGTCCGTCCCTGAGGAGTCCTGAACTGTGGTCAAGTTATTGTCATTAGTTATATTTAAATTCCCATGACCTCATTTGGATTTCACCAAAGCATAACTCCTTGTCCTGCTGACTTACAGCCTCTTTCTTTAACAGAGCTCGATTATTTTTCCACCATTGAGCATATATTTTTTAGGGATGCATGAAATTGTTTTTTTTGGCCGATATACGATACAGATATTTTTATATACGTTCCTTTGTCAGAACATAGCCTCTTATTTAGGCTTATTTGCTACAAAGAAATTGCGTCACAGCTGTAAGAGCTGGTGACATATATTCAGTAACAGCCATATGATATGCATAGCACTTAAACTAATATTAAATGAAAAGTGTTAAATGTTATTTATTAGCATTAGTCACCTGCGATGCTGTCTCACTTGTGGAGGCTTGTTCCAGGTTCCTAACTGCAGTATTGGGGGGGTGGCTGCTGTCCTTCGCTGTCCTTGCAGAAAAACACGAAGCAACTTTCTGCTCATAAATTGAAGCCGTTCGACAACACGCGCTGCACACGTGAACCCCGTCTGTGGGCGTAACCATCACCATAGACATACATTATACATAGATTAGGTACGGCAGCTCCAGAGCCCTATAAAGAGAGAGTTGCGACACTCTTTGAACTCGCCGATACGTGGTCACGTGGTTCATGCAGCTCCTAATAGTTCCAAACAGCTCATCGCTGTCAAGTCAGTTTGAGCGGCTGCTGGCGTGACACAACACAAAAATCGACTTTTCTTACTTTACCTGGCGTCTTTCAGTAATTATTGAGCAGTAACGAACTGATTATTTCACAAACTATGCATTTTATCAAAGCATTTTTAGAAGCGGCTGATACATTTATCATTAAATTTTAGAAGGAAACAAAACTGCAAACACATATTTGTTAGAAAAAAATTTATATGCAATACAATGATCAATATAGCCATATCAGTGTTTTATAATGCTGATATATTCTTGGTAATAATTCTTATTTCTTGTTCTGTCTTGAAAGAGTCTCATCTCAACTTGACCCATGATTACCAAACACTAAACTAATAATATAAAACAAAACTAATTTAACAGTCCTGCAGTAAATATCAACTTTGTGAAGGTTATGGTGTTAAAGTAAGTTTATTCAAACATCTTGATTAAGCTGTTATTGTTTTGGAAGACAGAAAATGAGATCTTGTACCTTTGTGATACTTTGAATGCAACATTCATTTCATGACGTCATTCTCCTCTGGTTTACCTGGAAAACATGAAAAAAATTGACATCTCCACAATCACGTTTTTCTTTAATGATAATGTCACAATTTATGCTGCAGTCTTTGACAAATGATCTATAACTTTAACTAAATTACGTCAATCTTGTTGTCATGTTGTCATCATTCTTTGTTGAAATCAGGTCTCTCTTGTAAATGAGTCCTCGAGGCTCAATGGGATTAACCTGTCTAAATAAAGGTTGAACAAATCTCCCAGAAAAAAAGGTAAAATATTTTCTAGTTGAGTTCAGTAACTGGAATTACCATAAATTAAAAAAAAGACCACCTTTCAAAATTTAAGCAGTAATAGATATTTTAAAACGCTGAATTAGAAATAGACCCGTTTAAACCGTCATGTTGCAGAGCAGCTGCAGTTAAAACACAACTAGTAATTTAACACGTTTCATTAACTAAAACTGGCGACATGAAGTATTAATGTTGATAAATTGTGGTACAGAACAGTCAGATAACGCTTCACAATGGCAAAAAAAGTGTCGTATTTTCATCAACTTACCGGAGAAAACACGGAGAATTAACTACTAATGCTGGAACCGCTGCTGTTTGGAACTTTTTGCCGCTGCATGACCCACGTGACCTCCGCATTCCATTCTTTCTATGGGAGTCTATGGGAGTGTCGCAACTCTCTCTTTATAGGGCTCTGGGCAGCTCTATAAAGCTCTGGGTGTAAACACGTAGTCTGTTTGCTATATGTCTGCGTTTTACCTGCCGGCGTTCTGAAACCACGTGACACATTACAGCCAATACTGAAACTTGACACCGAAACAAGAGTGACGTTTCAGTCCATACACCGACCGACGCAGTTCAGTCAGTGCCATAAAAGAACCTCGGTTCGGTATACAGCCCTAGCTGCAGGCGTCCTTGTCACTGGGTTGTCATACAAAAACAGCGTCTTTTATATCGGTGAGTTGTTTTCATGGAATGGCCGATATTTAACTTTAACGCTAATATCGGCCGATACCAATACCATGCCGATAATATTGTGCATCCCTAATATTTAGTCATTCTTAAATTTTAAAAAAGGACAGCCAGGGAAGGACAAGTTTGTTGTGATAGTAGTGCTCTGGAAGTCTTTGCCTTGTCCTCTCAGACGAGTGTGAAGTGTGTGAGTTAGTCTGGACAGGTCAGTCTCACACAGAATCACATAGAAAGTAAAGTCGTCGTGTTGCTTTAATTACGTGTTAATGGGGAAAAATAAAGACGAGTAACAATATTACTTATCAAAGTATAGCTGGAGTCATATCACATCTTTTATAAAGGCTTAACAGAAATCTCTGTGTTGGCTTGTAAGTCTGTGTTTGGAAGAGGCAGAGCTATTAAGAGGCTTGTTTTTAAGCTATCCTTAAAACCTTCTTAATAAATCCGAATTAAAGATAATTCACATGTTTTTCTAGAGTAAACAAAACCGAAGGTAATTTACATGTAGAATTCTGTGCTAGTATTTTTGTTTAGGTAAAATGATTCACAGATTAGAAATACATACCTAGATTTAAAAAGCAGAGTTTAGAGCAAAGAAAAGCTTGAATAGTTGATGAGACTGCAGAAAGAAAGAGGCACGAAAAGCAAGAGGAACGTTCATATCATATACGATTGTACAGAGAAATTACGCTTGGCGTACCATAAACCTGACGAAGCAGAATTTATTTTCTAAGTGTGAAAAAGAGGCTGAAACTTCCCTGCATTATTTTTTTAAATATACATTAATAAACACTTTCATGGAGGATGTTGCTGTTGACTTCTTATCTGTGACTGTTAGGAGACAACTTCTATACCAAGAATATTCAAAGGTATGTTTTTGGTTCTTATGGTTTAGTTAATTAAATCAAACCACCTGTTTATTTTCTATCAATAGCTGTTTTTTCTAAATCCTACACTGTCCTAAACCTATTTATCTTTAATGGACTGACTATACAATATGTGGGCTTTTTCCCAAATAGAAAATGTTGCAATGTACAATGATATTTTAAAAAAAAGTAGTCCCAGTCCCAGAGGATGGTTACTACATCTAGCTTGTCAAACTTTTCCATATATTGTAAAATTGAACCGAATGTTTTGTGTTATGATAATTTATCTGCATTTGTGTACTTACATTTTGTACTAAGCAGCTATATGTTGTAACAAAATGGCAGTCCTCCACACAGCGGGCCCTCTGCTTCTTTATTAAATGGCCAACTGATCAGAACAGCTTCATCGCCAATACTGAGAAAAATATTAAAAATGAGTGACATCAAACTGGTATTATATGGAAATCAATGCTCCATACATAATTCAACATAAATCTGTGGAAAAACTGCATTAATACAGAGAGAGGTGTGTTTTTTTTAGACTTCTCATGCACCATCAATGCAATGTCCTAATGTCCTATCTGTTGGTAGAAATCACTACAAGGTCAGAGATGAAACTACTGGCACATTGATTACCTATCACTCTGTGGGAATCCACCAGGATATCCTTGTTTAGTGTCCCATCAGGCATACTGTTGCACGTGTTAAAGAGAAATGTGTCTTACTGTGCAGAACGTCCCCCCTCAACTCCTGTTGCGTTTGCAGCATCAGCTAGATCATATGGAAAAATCCTTTTTATACCTTCTTCAGTTGAATTTATTCTAACCACATCTTGCACAAAGCTTCTGCTGCCTTGTTTCCATGTATGAACACTGCAGTAGAGTGACACAGACGTCGTCTTGTGAAAAACGACAGTTTGAATCTCTTGCACCGCAAGCCTTTAACTCACAGTTTAATCCCTATTTTCTTTAAAGAGTTTGAGTGTTTATACACGTATATCTATCAGAAAAAGAGATTTGAGTTGATAGTCAGCTGCTTTAAGCCACAACCACATCCGTGCAGTACATGCAGTGCAACTCTTAGTAGGATGGATGGATGTTTGGATGAATATGTAGAAGTGAATGACACATGAAGAGCATAGAGGGAAGGGGAAGCCCCCGTCATGGATCATGGTGCCCTGCTGTCAGCGTTATTAACAGCCTAGTCCGCTGTAGTGCAATCCAACTAATTCAGACAGTAAATTCTTGCTTGTCACATTTAGCTGGAGCCGCATCAAGTCCATCCACTGATGCGAGAACGATGGACACTTAAAGGCTCAAATGAAGAAACAGAATGAAAGCGGATGAGGTTGAAAAAGACAAAGAAATGCAAAAATCACAATTTCTTTTATAACACTGACTTTGTTCTGAAAATCTCTTGCGTATATGTGTGTTTACATATATAGGACTGACAGAAAGAAAGTCCAAT